GATGGCTCAAAATTCTTAAAACATTTATGAATTCAAGTTTCATACCCTATAGGTTATGATTTATTGAGTGATACGTTGAATTCCTTTCAGTTTGAGTTTTCGGACGATCTTTTATGTTTAGACAACTCGATCAACTATTATTTCTAATAAATTTCCAATGAATGTCTCTTCGAATATCGCTAATGAAAGATTTTTTCTGGAATTTCGCATCCAATGAATGTCTGATAAGAACCATAGTTACATGAATCACTCAATAGCCCACGATCTACATATTGTACGCTGCGATCCAAAACAAGGTACGAACGCGTTCCAGGTCGTTTCAAAATCGCGATTCGGTACGAAAGCTTATGCGATCCAAAATTGACCATCCAATTAACCCAATTGATGTTCAAATCAAGATTTGAAGCCATCGATTCATCGTTCTGGGCAATAAAAAAAACGCGAACAGACAACCAATTTCATCAATTCGACTGTTCAATTCCATCCACACTCTGATGTTGGAAAGAACAACGTTGACCGGCCCTAGGATTTCTATTCACACTTCACGATCAAGAGGATTCAATTAATCAATCATATTTTCATTCACACAGAACATAAATTATGGATTCTTTTTCTTCTAATTTTAACTACTATAAATATTTAAGTTAGTCGCACAGCACAGAGCCACAGACAGTGTTGATTACCTGATTACCTTCCTATAGTGTCGATTTCCTTCACTAAGCCACAAACTCTTCTTTTCTTCTTCAATTTTTGTTTTTTATCACTGCAAATATACAAGTTCGTACACTAGAATTCATGTGCACTTCTTTGGATCCTCATTGTGAAAAAAGGCTGAAATTAGAAGATGTACCGTTGTAGCGAAAGATCGAGACACTTACGAACGGTTGCAAAAGAGGGTGAAAAATGCCAAGAAGCTAGGAGTTTCTAAGTCGTTAAAAAAGCTCTATAGTTACAAAAAGATAGAATTTAATCTCTAAGAAACCGTTAGAGCACATATTCCTACTTTCATAGTGTGAAGAGGAATCGGCTTAACTGTAAAAGGGCGGACAAACTTGTTTATGTTCATTCTAATATTCGCTTGAGTTCAAGATTTTCTGAAGCATATAAAGAAGGACCACACAAGAAGTGGGATATGGATCCCGAATCTACAAACTTGGAAAGCTCAAGGATAGAAGATATGGTGTGGGAAGATCTAGAGGAGGATGAAGACAACGATAATTTCAAAGGAAAAAAACAAAGGGTGGAGTAATTTTATTAGTTTTATCATGTCTTTTAAAGTTTTAAGTTTATTCATGACTTTATGAGTTTATGTAATTTGTTATGACTTTTGAGTCTTTTGACTTTTGAAGTGATAAATTTGTTTTGAACTTTGAAGTATTGAAGTTACTGAATGAAATCTATAGTATTGAAGTTACTCTAAGATATTTGAAGTCTTGAAATTACTTATAAAATTTGATGTAGAAAAATAGCAACCTAAGAAACTAGTACATCGTACTGGAGCGATTCGAAATGAGCCTACCCCTCGTACCAAATTTTAGGAACCTAACGAATTACGATCCCGTTCCACGTTCCCATACCGGAGCGTACCGCGATCCATGTGACTATGATAAGAACTCTATCTATGTTGGCACTTTTACCCTTGTTAAAATATCGTTTGGTTTGTGTTTGAATTGACATCCAGTTGTGTACTCATTGTTACTTCGATGGTATACTTGTATGAAACTAGAGTATTGATGAACATGTTGGAAGAGTGTTCTTCGTATATAAAAGATTTTGCTTATCTCAGTCTGGTAAATTCTAATTAGAATTTTGTCTTTTTTAAATTCTTGAAATTTTGTCACGAACAAGAAAAATCCTCAGATTTTTAGTGACTCTATCGTTGTGATTCTTTGGTGATTTACTCGTTACTCGAAAATGATTCGTTTAACAATGTGTTCTTAAAAAAAGGAATACTCATTTTGTTCAATGACCTTGTTGCAAGGACCAATTAACCGATTACATGCTAAAAGTGGGATTTAGGTGAATTTTTTTTTACTTCCCGTGTGTTAACAAGATCATTGTGCTGGAATACCATTACATCCGTTCGATGTGATGTGACATATGGTGATGAGATAGAATTATTAACGTTTAGCGTGAATACCAAGAAACTTTAGATTTATATTGTAACAAGGAAACGAACGATGTGAAATGTCAACTACGTTCACGTTTATTCGAATCTGGTGGAAAATTCGAGGATAAATTTTTCTTAACAGGGTAGAGTTATAACTCTCCATAGTTTTGATTAAATTGGTAAATAAAATTATTTCGAGGATAAGTTAGATAATTTTTGTGTTGTGGGATTAACTTTAAAGTATGAGATGAAGAATTTATTTGTTAGAATTTATTTTGGGGAGATTCATGCCTAAATTGAAATAAAGGAATTATACATCACTAAGGTGAAAACAAGGCAAGAGTTGGACTCTTTAATGAATTATTATCCACAAAAGTTATAAGATATTTTTCTTGGGTAGATATGGATCCCACTGAGAATGATAAGATTATGAGAAACCTTGATTAATAGCTTAAGCTCATAAATGGCCATCATGTTGACTTTATGAGACTCGTGAAATATAATATAGTCGATGTATGCTCAATGGGTTTATTAGTTCACCCTTTTAATTATTACCTTTTCAGGTTCAAGGTTTGAGATCACGATGGGACAACAACATCATCAAAAGAGTCTCAGCGAGAGTACCAGAGTATAACGACGAAAACTTGTATGGGAATGTAGAGGTCATGATTGTATTTTATTATCCAGGTCGTAAATTATGTGTTTCAAAGTCGATAAGTCTCAATTCACCTCAGTGTTCCAATGTGATACCTTCGAGTCAAGTACATTTCTTGGGTCAGGTCAAGGGTGTTACATTTTATATTTGGCAACAAGTACGGCGTAGTGGTCACAGTCTACTTGGAATAAACGGTGAACTCAATGAATGTCTAACAAACAACCTCAGTGCCTCAATAAATGATGAACACTTAGGATTGTTACAGCTTGCTACAAAGAATAGAGTAACTAAGTTGATTGTAAAGATAATGAAAAAAATAAAAATATCAATATGACCAAAGTTTACTTTTATTTATCACCATCGTTGATCATTATCAGTTGCCATAGGACATCTTCATCGACGATCGAGACTCCACTTCACTCTTTTTCTGGTTTGTCCAACACGAATCCAATATACGTTTCATTGAAAAATATCTTGAACTTCATAAAACTAATCTAAACTCCCTTTTAGACGGGATGAAACTATAGTCTACGCATCATAACGGTAAACTGAAAACCTTGGTTTATATGATGTATGACACTTTAAATCTTCACCTAGGCTTTTCTTCCTAATGTATTTGGCAACATGCATTTGCGTAATAATTTTGTACTTAACGTAGGATGATAGTTAGATTAGCTTTATTCCAGAACAATGGATATAAAATGTTTCTTCATGGAGGAGAGACCAAATGTTGAAAAAGGTTGGGACGATACAAGTTCACAACATAGAATGTCCATAGAATGAACATCGAGTCTAAAAGTGGAGCGAATATCAAATTGTGAAGTTTGGAATATTTTTCGATAGAACGAACATCATATTTGTATTTAAGAGGTTACAAGTGAGTGAATTGAAAATTTTGAAGATCAATGATCATCTGTAATGGTGGTCGAGGCGGCTAACAACGACCGACGATGGTGGTGAGCTACGAAATACGAGGATTTTAGATGAATTTAGGGGTTAAACTAATATTTTATATAAAACTCGAAGGTCAAATTGATATTTCATCAAAGTTTATAGGTCAAACTAAAAATTAACCCACCATCATCAAACTAATGACCAAAATGTTATAAATAGATAATGTAAATGACCAAAATGTTATTTTTTGAAATTCATTACTAAAAGTGAAAAGAATGAAACAAAAGTGGCAATTTGGTAGTTTACCTTAACTTCGTACCAGGGCTCAGCAACGAAATCAAGAAAACCAAAAAACCGATCCGAATTGGAGTATGCAGTTCGGTTCGAGTTTTTCAATTTGCGATTCGATTTCAGTTTGATTTAAAAAAAATAAATATCCAATTCGGTTCGATTTTGGTTTTTTCATATGGAAACCATTTGAACTAAATTCAATTTGCGATTCGATTTCAGTTTGATTTGTTTTTTTAGTTTGAATTTGAAAAATAGTGAACAGTAAAAAATCATCGAACTAAACAAAAAATCGTGGTTTTTATACCATTATGTTTCGGTTTCTATTTCTAAAATCCGACAAAGGGCGATTCCTTCATATTTTAGTGAAAAACCGAAACGAACCGTATACACCCCAATATCGTACTGTTACTTTTATTTTTAAAAAGTTAATTGCTTTACAGGCCTCTAAACTATGACCTTCATTCTAAAGTGGTCCTAAAACTTTTGAATATTCAAATTATATCCCGAAACTATGTCTCACATTCTAAATTGATCTCTAATTTTTTTAAACTATCCAAAATTCATCCCCAGATTATGACCCTCATTCTATATTGGCCCCTAAATTTTTTAATGTTCCAATTTTATCCCCAAATGTTGAATGATTTTTAGGCGCATTATTGGAATGCTTAAAATTTTAGAGACCAACTTAGAATGACCTTTATAATGAGGGAATGAATTCAGAACGTTCAAAAGTTTGAGATCAATTTAAAAGTTTGAGGATAAATTAAAATATTCAAAAGTTTAATGACTAATTTAAATGATGGTCATAGTTTAGGGATGTGTGGCACATATAAATCTTTTTTAAATTTTTTTTTTCTTTTTCTAATTGAGTTTACAAATAAATAAATTTTAAAATGTTTGGAAAAATAGAGCTTTAAAAATAATAATAAATAGCAGTAGAAAAAAAAAAGACACTCGGTGACGAAAACAAGCGGGAACAAATAGTCTACACTCTACAACAAAGAAAAGCGTAGAAGAAAGAAAAATAAAAGCCAAAGGAAGAGAAGAAACAATTTTCAAAATTATATTCTTTCTTTTTTTTTAATTAAAGGATTTCATTTGATTGATAACAGATTCCTCCCAGGCAAAGCAAACAAAAAAGTGCAGTGCAGACCAGAATTGCGGGAAGGGGAAAAAGAAACCTGAAATTTTTTTGTTCTTTTCCAGCAAACAAAGAAAAAGAAGAAAAATTAATGGATGATGAAGTTGTCCAAAGAGTATTCCAAGAAGGAGGAAGGGATTATTTCCAGCAACAACCTTCGACTTCTACTTCGTCTTCTTCTTCTATTCTCCAGTCTCTACCTCTCCATGTGGTCAGCCCCCCTTTAATTTTTGTTTTCAATCAAGTAGTTTTGTTTGTTCCAGTTTTTCGATTTTGGGTTGTTCGGTACTTTTTATTTCTCCAATCGAATTTGGGTTCTGAAGAATTTTTGTCATTAGAATTTTGAACTTTTCTTTTTGGGTAATTAGGTTCAGAAAACAAGAATCGTAACAAATTGGGTTATATTTTTTTAGATACTTATTGAATGATGATGAGCATTTGGATTACTTGTACCTAAATTTAAGTGTTTGTTTGTGTTTTACACATGCGTTGAATTTGTGATTGTTCACAGTATCTCATTTACTTGATGTCATTTTGAGCTATAGTATGTCAATCTAGTATTGCAAGTTTTTTAATCTGCCTCTATGTCTTTGATATTTGTCCAATTTGCTGTTTGATAAATTGATGATCGTTCCTGTTATTAGAAAAATATTAATTCTAGATGACATCATCCAAGTATGGAAGAGGAAATCTTATGACAAGTATCATCCAAATGTTGTGCTGATTAGGGTTGAAGATATGACCTAAGAAAAAGTTTGGTTCCATCGCAGTTATGTCAAACTTCTTCGCATGTTTGAATTGATCTTTGCCCAATTTGCGCTCTCTTCCTGAATTTTCTTCAAATTTCTTGGCATGTTTGAAAGCTGTTACCTTCATTCTTTTTCTTGTCCTTGACCTATATCAGTGTTTCTAGGGCATGCACCCTTGACGACACTTAACCATATTGTTGGCATGGTATGAATATCTTGGTTAACGAATTTTGGTAAGCTTATTTTGTTGTTTTATTGGTTGCTTATGTTTTTATATTTGGGTTCTTTATATCCTAGGTTTCCAGTTTTTCTATTTCAATTTCATCCTATATCAAAATTGAACATGTTTGCTCTCATATCAACTTCGTAGTTTTCTGTTGCTCGTTTGAGTTTGTGTTAATTTTCCTCAAAATTTGCTTTGTGTTTGATGAGCGTTTTGGATGAAATGATGCAGTCATTTGATCATGGCTATTATTATTTGCTTGTCAAATCCATACAAGAACTCAGAGAGAAAAAGGAGGGTCTTGTCACGGTTGGCATTGGTAGTCCCAGTGGATCAGGCAAAACTAGGTGAGCATGCTATTTAGATTTCTGTTTAGTTTTCTGATGTCTCTCCCTCTACTAGTTATCTATCTATTTTCTTTTCAAAAGAAAGATTGTAAGAATCAGGACAAATGGAGCTGCGTGCTTTCTTTCTTTTCTTATAATAATATTTTTGGGTTTATATGGTGGTCTCAATTTCCAAAAGCTTAGCATAGAAGGTAGCACCTGTTATTGGTTGCACTGTTATACCAATGGAGAACTACCGTGATGGAGGTGATGAAGGGAATGATTTGGATTCAATAGATTTTGATGCATTGATCCAAAATCTTGAGGTTTGTACTTTGTACATTTCGTCACAATGGCAAATTCATCTAATTTATTGCCTATGAAAAACATTTTTGTCTCTTCGATATGTTTGGGAATTGGGATTACTCTAAATGTATACATCGTAAAGTTTGCCCTTCGTTTCCTGTTAAACTCAGGATTTGACAGATGGGAAAGATACTATGATACTGGTGTTTGATTTCCAACAAAAGAAACGTGTTGGCTCCAAACCTATAAAGAGTGCTATGTATGGGGTGGTAAGAAGTGTAAAATAGGATATATTTCAAATTATGGCTGCTTTGGACTTAATTTGCTCATCCATTTTTCAGGTAATAGTTGATGGTACTTATGCTCTGCATGCGAAATTGCGCTCTCTGCTTGATATTCGGGTCGCAGTGGTAATAACTTCTTTTCCCTAAGCATTAGGTTTGATTAAGGCTTGTGCGGTTATCAATTCTTTTCATCAGATTTTTTTATAGTGCTTCTGAATATTTGGGTGGTGTATCAGGTTGGTGGTGTTCATTTTAGTCTTCTTTCCAAAGTTCGATATGATATAGGAGATTCTTGCTCACTGGATTACCTTATTGATAGCATTTTTCCTTTGTTTAGAAAGCACATTGAGCCAGACCTTCATCATGCACAGGTTTTTTTTTCTTTTGTTGTTGTTTCTTTTTATGTTTTTACTTATTGGAATTTAACTGGCAATTCCTAAGTAATTGGGTTTATCATGCAGATTAGAATTAACAACAGCTTTGTATCATCATTTAGAGAAGCAATCTACAAGCCGAAATGCAGAAGTGAGGTATGTTATACTTAATGTCTCATTGTTAAATAAAATTCTAAGCATGTCATTCATAGAAAATGTGATTATGATCTTGGTTTTAAAGTGTAAAGCGCCTAGGGTCCTAGATGCCGAAGCGCTAAGCGAAAGCGATCGCTTTATGCACACGAAGCGCCAGAAAGGCCGAAATTCACAAAAAAATACAGAATATTTATAAATTATCTTATAAATACTTAAATATCAAAGTGTCAATGCATATATTCAAAACTTATAAGTACTTAAACACCAAAATATAATTCTCAATTTACTTATAAGTTATAAACACTTAAATACTTATATACCATTAACCATACGACTATACGAGCATATTAATCTCAAAAGATGGTCTACACCAAAAGTAGTCTAAAGTGAGATGAACAAAAGTATTTTTCTAAACCCTCAATTCCTTATAACTCAAAAATCCTCTAAATCGTCATCGTCATCAACTCGGACAACACCATCTCCTTCATCACTAGACACTCCAATATCTTCTTCCATCTCATCTTCATCAACTAAGCATCTACGAGATGGTCTACTAGAGATAGGATTATGAGCAGGAGATTTTCCTTTATCATTTCGCGATGGTCCGGCTCCATCATTCACTACTTTTGATGCTCTAGTTAGATAACTAGGCTCATATGCACCGGAAGCGTTAGCAACATCACTCCATGTCAAATCCTTACCAACAAACACCGCCTCATCATCATCTTCCATTCTTCCCATGAACCACTCATTGCACTCATCAATATCTTGCAAAAGAATGGGATCTGTCTCCTTACTTATAGCCTGGCGCTCCAAGGCACGATTGAATTTCACAAACACCATGTCATTCAATCTAGATTGTGCCAATCTATTTCGTTTCTTAGTGTGAAGCTACAAGAAAAAAACCAAAACTGGATGTTAGCAACATTATGCATATATATATATATATAATTTCCAGCAATATTATTAAGAAAAAACATGTAAAAATAACTTGTTGAAAAACACTCCAGTTTCTCTCACAACTTGTAGCACTACAAGTGAGACTAAGAATCCGTATAACAAACATTTTCAAGTTAGGAGCCGAAGATCCATACATTGTCCACCAATCAGCTATAAAAAAATGTAAAATGAACATGAAGCATAAACTATATTTGAGAGAATAATTAATATAACTTAAAACTTAAAATATAAAGTAGCATTTTTTTACCTGGTGATTTTGTTTTCCTTTGCCTAACAGCCAAGCTAATACCAAAGAGACCATCTGCCTTTCGGTATTTAACTAACTCGTCTGAAATCTTGTCTTGAGTTTCTTGGTCGCGAACAAGCCTCAACATGCATTCATAAAAACCGTTTTCAACTTCTTCACAAAGCACACCACCAACTTCATCATAAAAGATCCCCGGGTTCAAGAAATGTCCCGCAGCATGCAAAGGTTTATGTAGTTGACATTCCCACCTATGATCTATAATTTCAAAAGCTTTCTTGTAATCATCCTCTCGATTCAGAAAACTATCACAAATCGTCTCCTTAGCTCTATCCATTGCCTCATAGATGTGCCTTGTAGATGTACCCCATGGCTGGATTTTTTTCTCCATCAACTAGTCTAAGAACTTTCACTAAGGAGCCCGTCAACTTGAGAGAATAAAGTACATTCCTCCAAAACGTTTCTTGCAAAAAAGTAAGACTTTATTTTCTTACCCGTGGGTTCTTTAGACCACTTGTACGCTTCCCACTCTTGAGAAGTCACCATCTTCCTCAAATTGTTTTTTTTTTGTTTGTGGATCTGGGCAAGAGTGATGGAGGAAGTAGCAAATCTTGTGATGGTCGGTCTATGCAAGTTTCTTTGGTTTGTGAACTTTCTCATCAAGTTCACCAAACCAACATGACTATATATATATCCATTTGAGTAAATGACCTTTTTTAAAGCATTTTTAACCCTAGGAATGTGTTTGCCAATATCCTCCAACATCAAGTCTAGGCAGTGTGCAGCACATGGTGTCCAATAGAGATATGGTCTTTTAGCTTCCAACAACTTCCCTACAAAGTTAGAGGAATAAGATGAGTAGATGACATTAGACAAGAGATTATCAAAAGACTAAAGTTGCAACTCAACTCTTACCTGCCTTCACATAAGTTGATGCATTATCAGTCACCACTTGCACCACATTCTCTTCACCAACTTCCTCCACCATTTTATCAAGAACATGAAACAACAAATCAGCATCCTTTGAAACATCAAATACATCAAGTGACTTCACGAAGACCGAACCCTTTGGGGAGTTTACCATGAAGTTGATGATATCCTTTTGAACAACGGAATCACGCCATCCATCCGATAGTATTGAACAACCTTTTTCTGCCCATTCTTTCTTATTTTCCACAATTTGATTTTGAACTTCCTCTACTTCCTTGTTAAGTATGGGAACTCTTAACTCGTACATACTTGGTGCTTTCATCCCGGGGCCAAACTGTCCGATTGCTTCGATCATTATTTGAAAACTCTCATATGTTGCGGCATTAAAAGGAATGCCTACATAAAAAAAATATTTCCATCAGCATAAACAAAAAAAAAAGACTTCCAACAACTTAAAACTCAAAAAACATTAAATATTTAATTATTTATAATACTTACATCGTAAAACCACCTCCCAATCTCATTACAAACTTTATCCCTAAGGTCCTTTCGACACGTTTCATTGATGGTTTGTTTGTCTCCCTTCCTTCCTAGCTTTGATTGCTTCTTGAGGATTAGGAGTGAAGTACATGTCCATAGGACCTTTTTGCCTTGGTTTTTTGGGTGGGGGCATCTTGCTACTACGGCCGCCTATTTCAACAACATCTTCTTCTTCACCATCGTTTTCATCAGCTTGTTGTTGGTGCATCCATTTTTTTGCTTGCATATGTTGTTCTGCCTTTGCCGTTTGTTTCTTCATCATGAACGCATTTAATTCTTCCCGCACATGCTCCGGACAGTTTGGACATTTACGAGCATCCTTAAAACCACCAATCATATGCAGTTTGATCCGAAACACACCTCCCTTAAATGTTTGTCCACAAAAAGAGCATGTAAAGCTGATTTTATTTTTCGGATCTTGTATTGCAATTTCCTAATTGGGTCTTCTGACCCGTTCTTTGAAGAACCCGCATTACCCGCCGTTGAAGTCATTCTATAAAAGATAAATTAAACGTAAAGTCAAACTAAAATAACATAAAGCAATACCAGTATACAAAGTTACAAACTATACCAGTAAGGCAGTAACAACTAAAAAAAAGATGAATTATATATTTATATACCATTTTGAAAAACATAAAACAGAAAGGCTGTGAAAATTTATTCTACCAAGTTGAAAGTTAATCAGTTTGACACTTTGACCTTATAAAGTCAATCTATACCATAATACAAACATTTAAATTCAACAAGCATTTTGCTTGTCTAAAAACTATATACCAGTATATAGCAACAACTAAAAAACAGAAGCAACCAGTATATATGCAACAACTAAAAAACAGAAAGCAATACCAGTAACAACTAAAACTGATTTAAACATGAATACATGATATTCGGTTTGATCTTATAAAACATAAAACAGAAAGCAATACCAGTTTGACCTTTTAAAGTAGGTGAACTTTTTTAAAATCAAACTATAAAACAGAAAGCAATAAAGTCAAACTATAAAGAACGAGAAAGCATTTTATAAAGTCAAACTATAAAGTCAGAGTCAGTGAAATTTTACCAGTTTAACAAGCATTTTGCTTGTCTACATGTAAAATTCAGCAATACTAAGTACTTAAAGAAGGAGAAAGCAATAAGCTATAAAGAAGAACAGTATTCTATAAACTATAAAACACAATTTTGCAATAAACTTTAAGTATATAAACAACAGAATTACGTACAGGTTGATGAAGTGCAGCAGCAGCGTGACTCGAGTGAGATGAGAGGAAGATGATGATCAAAACTTGAGTCGTGAGTCAAGAGTCGTGAGCGTGAAGCCAGAGGCGACAGGCGTGGAAGATGATCGCTCTCTGTGAATTTTTTACCGCTCAACCTCAATCGTTCTCTGTAAATTCTTTGATTACTGCCTATTTCAATCGCATTTTTTACCCTAGCCCGCCTAAACTAAAAGCCGATCTAAGCTTGATAATCTAATAGCCCGCTAAACCCTAAACAAGCCCAAAAATCGTATCTGCTAAAGCCCAGAATCGTATCTTCTAAACTCGCGATTAAGCGCCGATTAGCGCTTTGCTAAAAGCGCCGATTACTACCGCTTAATGAATTCCTAGTGCTTTTGCTATGCTGAAGCGCCAGGGGCCTCGCTTGAGTCGCTTAGCACTTTAATTGCGCTTAAGCGGCGCTTTTTTAAACACATATTATGATATTTTTAGAGTCAAGAAAGAATGTACATTGTCATAAACACTGTCAAATTATCTTGATAATTTATGTTTTGTAATTTATATTATTAGTTTTCATACTTGACTTGGGATTTCTTTTGCCTCTTTTTCTCAAGAATATGAAAGTTTCTCTCCCTCTCTCTCTCTCCATATATATATATATATATGCATATGGACATTGGACATCTTCTCTTTGTGAAGCTTTGTACTTAGAACAATGACTATTGCAGTTTAACTGGTGAATATACACACTGAACGGAATTCTTGATCTTTAATTCACTTTAAAAATTTATTTGCATATTGCAATTAGATTTAATTTGTAGCCATTGTGATATTATGAGACACATAGAAAGTGGGAAAGAGTGGACACAAAACATAAAAAAAACTTTACATATATATCCCCCTGCCCAAGAAAAAAATGAACAAAAAATTGACTAGTTATTTGTCTGCAGCTGTCCTGAGTGAACAGCCTTTTATTGAAATAAACCTCTAGGTATTCCATTTCTTTAATGCATAACATTTGAAGTTAACTTTTGTTGCATTGTTAATCAGCTGCACCCTTAAAGTCTCACTTGAACATTATATTGCTGTGGCAGACACCTGACGGACATTCTTCCTTTTTCCTTAAAGATGAAGCACAAACCGATAAGTAAGTGGTTCTGACTATTATCACATGCTATCTTTATGCAGAATGTTAGTTATGTATGTCTACATAGCCTTTTTCTCTCTATGTTTTGGGACTGAAATGAAAACTTCATTTTGCTTTAGTTTCATTGAGATGTACCTTAGACCCCCATCAGCTAGCGAAGAAGCACGGATAAATGATTGGATTAAGGTGCGGCAATCTGGTATTCGATATTATCTGTCACTTGGGGATCAGAGAATTGTGGACAAAAATTTCATCATCAGACCAAAAGCTGAATTTGAGGTCAGACATTTTGCCCTTTGCAGTTCTAGTGTGGCCATTGTTGTCAAACTGAAGTAGTGCTCCCTAATGTGTCATAGATGTTTTCTTTTCCTGTGTTAATGTCAAACTTGTTTTACACACCAACTAGTTCCATTTTAAATCTATCAATTTATTTTCTCTTTTTGACTTCTATTAAAGGTATTATTAAACCCAACTTTTTAACTCTTTCAATTAAGGATTAATCAATTAAATAAGTGTGTTTTTATTATGTATCAAAGTCGTTGACATGAATTGTTCTTGTCAAATAACTATGCACAATAATACAACTGTATTATGCAAAATGATTAAAAGCAAGGATGCCAGTGATTAACACACCTTTATTGGTCCTCGATCTTGTTCTTCTGCATCATTTAAGGAGATACTGCATAACATTTTGATTTTTGGTAACATATCTATCAAACCAGCTAAAAGCCAGCCCAATCTGTATTCTATGACCGTTCCCCTGTAACTCCCTCTTTGAGAAAAGATAAGAGTATTAATTGGTTGTTTTCTTCAAAGCTAGGTTGGAGGTGTTCATTCACACCTGATTTCTCGAGTTCAAAGAGACAAAAGCAGGGTGGGGTGTTTTATGTCCCAAAATGAGATCATGATGACAGTGTTCCCAATATTCCAGCAGCACATTGAACCGAATCTTGTTCATGCACATGTCAGTAGTCTATGAATATCTCAAACTTGTATTACATGTGATTATACGTATCAAAAAACTTTTGGTATTTCTTTCTGATTTTGTGTAGGCACACATGTTGATAAAGTATTTTATTGTGTATGTTTTTAACCCATTGCATGACCATATGTATTGAGTGTACATATATGCATGTAAAGGTATGGTTATATTTGCAGTAACTCTGATAACGTGGTTAACTTTGTGTTGGTACAATTTTTTTTAATTATTGCAGCTAAAAATCAGAAATGACTTTGATCCTGTTCTTTCTCCTGAGAGTTCACTATTCGTTTTGAAGAGTAATAAACAAGTATCATAAAGTTTCTAGTTCAAAACTCATGTGCCTTCCCTTGTTATTGACAATCCATTCCTACTTCTTCATGGTATCAGGTGGCCTATCAAGATATTTTGAATATCCTCGACTCTGCGAAGCTCTGTTCAGAATTTCATTGATATATATTTAAGGCTTCCTGGAACTCCTACAAATGGGCACTTAGCAGAGAGTGACTGTGTACGTGTCAGAATATGTGAGGGAAGATTTGCATTACTAATACGAGATGTTAGTAGTGATATTTATGAAAAATGTCTTTTAGTCCATGCAATGCAGTTGCTTTTTCTATAACTGTAGCAAATAGCTGATATTTTGATTTTTTCTCTGTGCTCTTTGTTAGCCAATTAGGGAAGGGAATTTCATCATTCAACCCAAAGTGGATTTTGACATTAGCATCAGTACAGTGTCTGGCCTTCTTAACCTTGGGTAAGTCAAATATTTAATGTTAATATTCACTACAATTTTGCTAGTATGGATTGTTATTTTCAAAGTAGGTACTGAAGAAAAATACGGTTACTACTGCATTGTTAAAATCTCTCATTGTCAATTAGAATGAGGTTTGAGTAGACATTTCCCAGGATTGACCCAAAAGGCTCGCAATTTTCCTCCCTTCCCTTCAGAGAGAGAGGGGTGGGGGTTGAGTGGGACAGTTGAACAATAAGTTGATACTCTTCCATGAGTTTTGAAAAATGAAAAAACTGGTTGGATGTGTAGTTTATGAATGGTAACTTTTGAGAATATGGCATAAAATATGCAACTGTTGACACAGTTTGTTGGTGATGGGGCTCAAACATAAATGTCAGCTTTTGGTATAGATGGTAGCCTTGATTTTCAGAGTCTACTTATTGAAAAATTAGTAATCGGGCATATTCTGCCATTTTCAGGGTTTTTTTTTCATTTGAACTCGTTGATTAGCTCATGTTCAATTGATTGAGTATTATATACTCTTTTACCTGGTGTCAGGTATCAAGCTGTAGCCTACATTGAAGCATCTGCACTGATTTACCAAGATGGCAAGGTAATACTAAGTTTTGGGTTTTGTAATATCCATTTTGTGTCAATATGAATGGCTTTCAGAATAATAATTAATTGTGATATGTGACTTAAAGCATAGGTTTCAAGCTTTTTCAATGTTCTGATTTAATTCTAATTCGTGATTAATGCCAAATATTCCTTTCTACTCTGGGCTATTTTGGAAGTCTGCACTTAAAGTTAGTTGAATTTTGCTGTTAAACTTTGATTTGAGTAATTCTGGACAAAATTAACAAGGATGCAATACTCTTTCTGTGTTGTATTAGTATGAAAAATATGATGTGGGTTTTCTGGATTAGTCATCTGTCCCAACTCTTTCTTCTGAGTATTCCTTCCGCGTGAGTAGATTTTTTTGATTCACTTGGAAAGTGTGAAGCATTTAGTGGCCAGACTATTATTCAATTTTCTCTACATTTATCTAATATCATTGAAAACCACACTTTTCTTGAACCATTTTCCTTTTAATATTTGTTTGGATGAACTATTCTTAAAAATAAGTCAGTCGGTGCTGCATTTTTTCCCTTGATTATTTCCCACATATATGCACCCGTGTCTTTATACAGACATTAAGTAATAACATTATTTGGGTGATAAAATGGTTGGAATTGATGCATTGTCTCAGTTGCCTATTTAAAGATGGCATTGTTATGCCTTTCAGATTCTTATTGAGGTTGATCATCTACAAGATGCCCCTAGCCCTTACGTACAGATCAAAGGGATCAATAAAGAGGCTGTTGCAGCTGCTGGTTCAGCATTGAAACTCGACGGCTCGTACTCGACAAAGGTTTTGTCTTTGAATTGTATTAGATATTTCAGTGTTTCTTCCAATTTTCCTGTTAATTAAACTTGCTACGACTTATATATATCTGGTAGAGTTATCTCCAAATAATTTTGGAAGGATTACCATTGGTCGAAAGAAATTACAGTGGAATTCACGCTCATCAAGCTGCAAGGTTGCTGGAACTTGTTGAGTCTATACAATCCCAGGTGCTCATTGTTAAATAAAATTAAGCAATCAACACATATTGATATATTATATAGCCTTTAATGTAAGCTTCTTCGTATATTGCTGGATTAGACTCGGAATAATTCTGGCAATCTGCATGGTTATGGTGATTTAGAATCTGCATCTCAAGCAAAGAAACACCTTTCTATGAAATAGTATCGGAAGTAGATGATTTGAAAATCAGGTTATAGAAATGTAAATGTTATTTGCATATACTTGATAATTTGAGTGCCGCATGTTAACGAAAATAATAGTTTTTTGTGCATGCATCAGAACTGGCCGTAATCGATGTTCATAACAAATTTCTTAATTTTTAATAATGTTTTAGTGGACCAAACAGGGTGGCGGCAAACCATCAGAATCATCACATGGTAGGGAGGCTTCTCCGATGGATAGCATAATACGGTACTCTTCTCATTGTTTCCTTGATTTGTTTCCCGTGCTTCGTTTTCTTCTTCGCGACAACCATGATCAGCGGCTGATGGAACCAATCACTTACCTACTGAATTGTGCTTGGTTTTATTGCAGGTGCTTTGGACGTTTTTGATGTCTGCTCTTGTTGGTTATTCGCTTTACCAAAGACGGTGACAATAACAAGATTTCCTATAGATTATCTACACACTGACCCCCAAAAAAATCCTCACAAATTGTCAAAATGGCTGCTTATTACAGGCTTAAACAGATTACAATTCAAATGGTATTATTGCTTTAGTTCCTCCATTTTCATTCTGTAAATACCAAATTATAAACTTATGGGTCAAAAGTGGAAACAATCTTATCTTGAGCAATGTAAGTGGCACTTTTTCATGAAATTACTGCAAGTTTGGTTCACTCTGCAAATTGCATGGAAGACGGGGGAATTATATTTGAGTTAAGAACACGGAGGGTTAATTTGATTTACTGATTGGTTTGGTGGTCCGCAACTTTGATGTGATTCTTTCTATGGCGAATGCCACACTGCTACTGCACATTTGGTTAACAAAATTACTAATTAAACGTAATTAGAGGACTAACTTAGATAATCTAATATAATGTATTTTTATATTAAAAAAATGCATTGTTAACAATTGAATAAAAAAAAGAAGGGTAAACTATCTATTCGGTCACCTACCTGTCATTTACTTTATATTTTGATCATCGATTATTATTTTTTTCAAAATCATATCTAACGTTGTCGATAAAAAAATAATAGTAATGCTGATGTGTTATTTTTTAAATAATTTTTCTAATGTTGATATGACATTATATTATGAGGGCATGTTAGAATCAATATTAACTTCTTAATGGTGGATGATCAAATAAAATCGTAATGGAAAATTATGTATGATTTTGAGAAAAAAAAAGTTATAAGATCAAAACAGAAATTAAGTAATGGGTAGGTGACCAAATAGGTCATTTGCCCAAACAATATTAGATTAAAGTAATTTACTTTGAAGCCAAAGATACATGGATATTTTTTCTACAAATTTATGAACTGCCAAGCAAGTATTCTCCGAGAATCAAGGTGGTGAAGAAATAGTAAAATCTTATCCATTCACGAGAAAAACCGCCTTTACTATAATCTGATAGCTGAAATTCTCTCATTTCTTTTTACTATATCCCAGAAGCCACTTCCCAGATTAAGAATGGTATTCTTTGTTTCTTTTTATTTGGCATTCATGGTGAAATCTCATTAACTTTTTATCTTTTCTTTTTAATTGGCTTATATAATCTGGAGTTTTAATTATCTTCAGAAAGGATGATTTTATTGGTTTTCTTAGTCATGAAATTTGAATGTCATATATAGTCCTTGGTATTAAATTTCTCTGCTCCTTATAGCGATTCATGAATCTTTCGCCATTTGAGTAGTTGTGGTGATCTTAATTATGCCTGATCTTTATTTCTGATAACTCTTGCAATTTGTTTATTTGATGCTTTTTTAGTAAGATGGAGAAGGGTGATCGAGGGAAAGAGCATATTAGGGATCGGATTAGTGAATTACCTAACGCAATTATATTTATAATTCTTTCCTCTTTGACCGTTAAAGAGGTAGCAAACATATGCTTTCTTTCCAAGAGGTTGAAAGATTTGTGGCCCAACATTTTTTCTTTGAACTTTGATGATTCATCCACATTAGCCGAGCTTCGGAGGAATGGCAAATTAAGGAAAGAGAAGAGATGTCGGTACATAAACTGGGTAAACCACGTACTGGAATTGCACCAAGGCATCACTTTAAATGAATTTAGGGTTTGTTTTGATTTTGATTGGACTTCCAGACATGATATTGATACCTGGTTTCATTTTGCTATATCGAAGAGGGTTCGGAAACTTGAATTCGACTTCGAAGAAGTAGCAGTGGAAACTTGGCCGCCTGGTTTGAGATCCTTTTCTTTACCAAAAGTTGTTTCGACTACATTCGAACTCCTCCTGGATTATCTTGCATCGGAGCGTTGAATTCCTTGTGTTTGAGATTTGTAAAAGTTAGTGGGGAGGTTCTTGAGCACTTCCTTACACACTGTCCTCTGCTTGAAACGTTGGTTGTGGAGTGGTCAAAAAGTCTAGTGAGTCTTAAAGTTGCTAGTTCATCACCTTTAAGGTTGCAATAGTTGGAGATCCGATCTTGCCTCACTTTGCAAAATCTCGAGATTTCTGCACCCAATTTACGGACGTTTCGGTATTATGGACAAAAGATGGCATTGTATATCGAATATGCTCCTGTCCTTGCTGATGTGCTTATCGGTGGGAACTTAGACGATGAACCGGCTTTTTCTTTTTGCCCTCTTTCAAGCTATCTTGGTCAGCTGGAGATTCTTACATTGGAGATGAGTGCTGTAAGTGTTTGCTGTAATATTTTCTTCGATTTCTATTTTATTTCGCTGTTTGGGTTTCTCATCATAAATATTTTTTGCAGTATAATATGATGTTTCCGAAATTCCCTGAATTGACAAAGCTTAGGCACTTAGCAGTAAGTGTTTATGGTGGATATGATGACGATCTTCTTGTATTGACTTCCTTGATCGATGCATCTCCTTCCTTGAGGAAATTATCGTTGGAGGTAACGACCGGATTTTTCATCAACCTTTCCACATGAAACACAGTTGATCACTCAAGTTTCCTTATCATTTCCTTGTTTTAGTCTATAATGTTGCGTTTATCATTTTGCAGTTAAAAATATGGAGGTCTTCTACATACCATCATGCACATAGTTCTAGTAGTGTAACTGGAAAACCTATCCCTAGTCTTGAAGAGGTCGAGATTGTTGGGTTTAGAGGTTTTAAAATCGATGTCGACTTCGTCACGTATCTACTCGAGCATGGAGAAATGATCGAGAAGATCACTATTAATTGCTGCCATCCAAGTTGGATTGGGCAAATATGGGAGTGGGAGTCGATCAAAGAAAGAGAGAAGGCAAGGGAGCATGCTCTACAACTCGGATCAAAATCATCTCCAACAACTGAATTTGTAGTCGTATAATAAAGTTTGTTCAGCCTTGCAAGTTGATCCTTGCTGGTTCACAGGCGCATCGAGTCCACTGGACTATGGCCATCTAGTGTTATTAAATCAGCTGAGACAGTGTCTAGATCCTTTTGGAATCCTAACTTTGTGAATGAAGTAAATTGTGTGGGTTGTGAGGGTCGTTTTATAAAGAGTCTCTGTAATATCCAATCTGGATTAATCAATCTATAGATTGAATGTCGGTGGTTATAAAAAAATAAAGATGGGGCTCGTGTTTTGGCTAGGTTCAGGGACCCCCAAGTTCAAGGTTCGGATTAGAGGGGTATGTCCAATAATTTGGTGGGTACTCTAATTTCCAATGAGGATTTTCAGTGTTTTAATTGGACTGATTAATAACTGGAACCTGAATTATTGTTTGGTTAAAAAATTGCAAATAGAATTTTGTTGCTTTTGATTGATTGAATTATTAAGAGCATTAATTTTGTTTCGACAAGGACTTCGTTACAATCTGCTTGCTCTCTGGTGTGGTAGCTGTTGATGTAACAGTTAAATTATTATTTATGTTTTTGTTTGTATGTGGCAAATTCTTGTGATGCATAGGACCATTATTCTTCAAGTCAATGAAAATGATACAAATGGTTGGTTAGACCCTACTATTCAATAATACAAATATAAGACAATTACACTGCATATATTATTTTTCTATATGTGTTTCTACTTTTATTTATAGAATAATGAAGCTTTAACAACGTTGAAATTATGTTAAAATTTATAGAGTTGGATTCAAATTACTTTATATTTGACTTCAATTATAATTAAGAATTTATATTGAATTCAATTATATATTAAATTTGACATGAATTCATTAATTATTTATTCATATATGTTAAGAATTATAGAGTTGAATTCAAAATAATTTATATTTGACTTCAAGTATAATTTCTTTTAATTAGTCAATATTGGATTGGTTATAATTTCTTTAATAAATTTGTGGTGAATATAAGTTTTAGTATATGTTTGAGGATTCTCAATCATTTAATTATGAATATTTATACTTCTATATATACAGTATATGAACCAGAACCTTAAGAGATAATAACAAACTCCTTAATCATTAAGGTAGTTTAATTCTTATTGAATTGATTGTAATTTAAATAAATCTCGATGATAAGTTGTTACAAACCTTGTGTGATTCCATTACATATTAGACTAAAGTTTCATTGTTTAGAGTTTGGTAAGCAGATAAATGTGAATTCATATTCACTCAATTTGATAAATTTTAGGGATACGTGACGGTCCTATAATACTAGGGACGGAGTCAGAATTAAATATTGACAGAGATAAAAATATTAGATTATTTAAGAAAAACATTAAAACTTATTAGGTATTTAAACTCGAAATTCAGCATGAAACAAACGACCTTAGTGATTAAGGGGGCGTTTGGTTCAGGTCATATTGGATTACTAGGAGGAATGGAATGTCATTCTCCCGTCTGGTTGGCAAACATTCACAACCCCGGTAATAAGTTATTCTCAATAGTGGTATTTTGGGGTATATTACTAGGAATGTGATTACCCCTTCCCTTAGGTATTGTTACATTCCCGACTTTTTGAACTAAAATGCCCTTAATTTTTTTTTTCAAAAATATCCTTCTTCTGTCGTTAAATAAAAAAAAATTCTACAAAAGTTAAAAAATAAATTTATCCTTAAACTATTTTAGATTTGCAAAAAAAAATCCATAATTAGAATTTTATATGAAGTTCAGGGTTAAAATAAAATTTTATAATTTCATTAAACATATTTATCTTTTCAATTTTGTGTAAAAAAAAATTATATAAATTTTATGAATTTAAATTTTTTAAAGAAAATATATAAATTAAGTATATATAAATTATAGTAGAATTCAACTTGTTAAAAAACAAATATATAATAAGGACAATTTGGTAAAATATACATTCGAGTAATCTTTTATTCCTTTAATCAAACACTGTAATATTACATTCCTGCTAAATGAATCAAACACAATAATGCAACATTCCCAGTAATCTTATTCCCGCCGGTAATGTTACATTCCGTGAACCAAACGTGCCTTAAGGGATTGTTGTTATGCGTACAGATATACTGTATTAAATAAATTAAAAAAAACTCAAAACTTAAAAGATAACTTATAATTTATTTAATATTTAAACTTACAATGACTTAAATTATAATTAGACCAAATATTTAAGAACACAGACTTACCATTCTTTAGTTCGACCCCTACTTAATTAAATATTTAATAAATTTTTATATTAATTTAAATATTTATTTTTACCTAAACTAAAAATACTATTAAACCAAAATTATATTAAATATTTAAATTTTAACAGGCCGGACCC